ACCACCAAAATAACTGTTGAATCTAGGAGTGCGACTACAAATTCACGTCTAAAAACAAATACTCACTCACCAAAACTCCCAGAGGTATGTATTTTAAAATGCAAATATAAATTTATGTTTCTTATTTTTTATCTAAATATTTCCAATCTGATAAGTTTAAAAATAAACTTAAAGATCGATTAGATCTATGAAACAGGTAGAGAAATAATCAGATAAACAATAAGAACAAGCAAATGGATCAAAAGGTGTCGAAAGATTAATAAACAATCCTCAGAAGAGCTCGATAAAGAACATCAACTGTAGAGGATTTTAGGGTTTACAATAATCAATGAGAATGACGACAACACTTCTACATACGCATACATGCATGCATATATTTATAATAAAACCCTAACCGTTTATCAAAGAAAAAGGGCTAATCTAGATAAACATGGATTGACAAGCCCAATCCGGTTGTAAAACAATAGGGCCCAAGACGCAACACAATAATCTTCAACAATCTCCCCCTTTGCGTCTTTGGCATAGAGGCTTCATTCCCTTTTAACAGCAGAGGGTTTCTTCATTGTTTCAAATATCCTCGGTATAATGGCTAGAATGTGATGCCTGAAAGTGATATACCACCAAAGCATATCTGTAAAATTCTTCTTGTCTGCTGTAGAGTTCTGCTTGCATCGGTGAATGATGTTTATGATATGCTCCAGGCAATCTGTTGAAAACAGATGCTTGTCTACCAAAGCAAACAGAAACTTGTGCTTATCGCCCCTTGTGAACATGACCGTCAGATTTGAAGAGTCAATTTGCCCTAACTTCATTTTGTGCACATCTCCTGTCATGGAAGTAGGCTTGACGGTCGGTTTCTTGTTCATTATCTTTGCTATTTCCTGATCCATAGTGGTAAGCTCATGGATATAGGAAGCCAACATTCTTTTGAGATGTTTCAGAATCGGTTCATACTCTCTTTGATTTGAGAGAAGAATGTTGTATAGCAGAATCCAATCATGAGGATTCAGACTGGGAAGATCTGCCAGAGAAATAAAATGTTCTGTGTTGGCCGTTCCACTGTTGACTTTGAAGTTAACGTTCACAAATTTTCCAGCCTGTGTTGGTTTCAGTACCTTGACCTTTACATCTTCTGTGCACTCCATGTCAAGTACTGTGGTTGACCATACTTCAAATAAAAATCTATCAATTCTTTGTCAACCTTGAAGTTTGGATGAGGGACATCAGCAGTGACATCGAAGCAATGAAATGTAAAAGCCTTTCGTGTGATCGGCATGTCAAACTGCGAGTCTTTGGTATTCTCACACTCAAAAGATGCAATCGGTTCCAACCAATACATGGAGGGAAACTCAATCGCTTGATTAATGAGTGTGTCTCTGTCCCATTCTGGGAACAGAGTCTTCTTAGCCTTTAAAGCATCCTCATCCTCCTTGATTCTTCTTTCTTTGGCCTCTGCCTCTCGAGCGATTTTCAGAGTCTCATCCAGCTCTTTATCTCTTTTCTTTCGTTGAAGAGCTTCAGCAATAGTTTCATCAGTATCTGACTCGCTCTCAACAAGTAGTTGCTTTCCAGAACCCGAAGCTAAATTAACCTTCGGGTCTGTCTTTGGTATACTCTCTCTCTCCCCTTGTCTCGGAAGAACAAGCTTCTCCGAGACACCCTTCATCTCGCTCAGAATAGTAATCGCAGGAAGGAGTTTGGCCTGGAGATGCTGTCGGATGGTAAGGGTAAGAAAGGGATCATGAGTTTCGAGGACATTAGTCAACATGTTCTTGACATCACCAGCACAACCTTGAAGAACAGCCCGCTGAGTTTTCAGTAAAGAGATTTCTTGTTGTGCCTGGGCCAGTTGGATCTTCTGAAGTTCAATAGTTGCCTGATGCTTGACAAGATCCTCTTTTAAAGTACTCTCTGCTGCTAGAGAAGCAAAACGTGAATCCAAAGATTGAAGAAAAGAGGTGGATTCAGTTTTGAGGTCAGCACGCAGAGCCTCGAACTTGGAAGTTTCACCCTGAAGGGTAGCCGAAAAGGAGTCCACAGACGTTTGATACTTGGCCGCATTAGCATCAGCATGTGCTTTGAGAGAATCGAGAAAAATCTGAGTTGTGTGTACAACCTCAGAGACTTCCTTTGTGGCTTTGGAGCACGAAGCGGCTGATTTGTCAATAGCATCAGTGGAGCGATCCAGAGCATCAGTATACGTCTTGATTGCAGACTCGATAAAGGCTTTCAGCACCACACCCCATAGGCTTTATTATCAGCCAACAAACTATCGAGTTTTTCATGAATTTCTTGAAGCTGCTGACTGGTAATGGGGGTATCTGCATCAGTATCAGTGGGAATCCGGTATGGGCTATAATAAAGAGAATCATACTCTTCATCGTCACCACCCAAAGTAGCACCAGAGGTTGAGGATGGAGAAGGTGATGGTGGGATGTGAATGACAGGTGTTTCAACCACAGTAGTAGCCCCTGTATCAGATACATTGACTGTTACTGGTGGTTGGGAAGAGGTGGTAGTAACGGATTCGGTGATGATGGAGTGGGGATCAAAGATGTAGGGATAGTGACAGAGGAAGGAATGGTTGAGGTGGGTAAAGAGGTTGGTTCTGTTGTAGTGGGAGTGATGATGATAGGAACAGAAAGTGAAACCTGCTGTTTCGGTGATGGGGGTGGGGTAGGAATTTTAGGAGAAGGTGGAGGAGTGGGTAGTTTTGTAACTTTGGGAGATACTGGTGGAGAGGGAATATTAGTATCTGTAGGAGAGGATGGTTTTTGAGGAGACTGAGCAGGAGTTGGCTCTTTTGGTGAAGCATGAGGAGCGGCAGCCTCTGCGTCTGATGTTTCATTTGGAGCAGATCCAGGAGAAGAGGATCCTTTGGCCCGTTTAGCCATCTTCTTAATCTTCTTGGATTTGATGAGAGGGTTCTTCTGCATCATGTTTTCTCTTAGAGGATCTCGGCTTTCTCTCCTTTTTCGGTTCTGTTTCCTTCTTCTCTCTTTTTCCTTTTTAGCAGCCCGCTTGCCACGGTTTGCGGGTTGATCTAGGGCTTCCAAGGCAGCCTTCTGTTCGTCAGTCAGAACCCTTGGAGGCAAAGGAGTTCTGGTGCTGTAATCGGCCATGACCTTGCTATGAGGCGTGACACACCTGTACATGGATTCAGGAATTAATCCATAATGTAGAAACTTACTCGGGTCGGAGACAATAATCTTCTTAGTATGGAAAGAAGCTATTGAAGCCAGAAGAGCATCCTTCATCACGGGGATTTCCAGAGAATCCATGGCTTTCTTCGTGATGAGCGTCCAGAAACGTCCGCAGGAGATCTCAGAGTACCGGGTTGTGGTGTTAAGACTCTGAACGACTTGAGACCAGATTATGGAGCCATAATCTAAGTTGATGCCGTTGTAAAGACCATAGAGAATGGTGAGAAATCCTTTGCTCGTGGTATCAGAACCACCACAGCGTTCCGCTAAACCCTTGATTAACAGGGTAAGCAAGCCATTCCACTGCGAGGGGAGACAGGACTTCTTGACCTTTGCGATCGTCGTAAGTACATCAGTATAACCCATCTCGTACATCATCGAGAAAAGCTGGGCAGTCGAGACAAAATCTGGTGAGATGACGGATGAATCGACAGCAAGCCCTAAAAGAGAACAAAACTTGGTTTTGGAGATGGAGGTTTTCTTGTCATGGATGGTGAAGTAGATACGATCTTTGTGTTTATCATAACTTGCTGATGTATAAACTTGAGAAAGCAGGGACATCGGAACCGCTTCCACCTGCGTGAGAGCCAACAACAATGGGGAATATTTCAGACATTCCACCACATGGAGCATGTACGCATCATACAAAAAAGGAGTCATCTCGATAATCATATTCTGATTAGGCTTGATGGAAAGCAAAGATGAAGATGCAGTTTGATCGTGCGCAGAAGAAGAAGTCGCCATTGTTGAATCGAAGAAGAAGATGAACAGTGGAAACTTTTTCAGAGAGAGAAGATACGTGTGTGGTAAATGACAAAGAACACGATCACCCCTATTTATACCGTTCACTGGAGAGAGAAAATCGTGATGATTATGGAACGAAACGTCGCCTGAAAAAGTGCGATTGGATGTTATGGTGTATCCCAGGAAAACGTCAGCACACGTGGGTGTGAAACGAATCAACTGCATGCGCCCAAATCATATTTTTGTACCGTTTGAAATTCCTTGTGCCCTTGTTTGGTTACAACTGAAACTTAAAACCACATACCAAACAGCAATAAGAATGTTGGAAAAATTAATTTCGATGCATAAGAGTGTGAAAGATAAAGAAAAAAATCAAAGGTGTTTGAGATGTGAGTGATGTCTATGAAGAAGACATAAGGCGAGGATTCCGGGCAAGAATCACTTCCTTCAAAGCCAAGAGAGACTTGAAGTGCTTGTGTGGTTTCCCGAGAAATACGATCAATTGTCTGTCAATAAACAATGAAAGGCATCTTTTGATCATAGGGTGTTGGGTGGCTGTCCTCTAACCGAACATCAAGTCTCAACATAAAACTGAGTATTGGCAGAGGTTCCTGTGAGACCGAGATGATCTGTTGAACAGGTAGGTGGGAATTATTTTGTGACAAGCATGGGAGAAACAGAAATCT